CTCTTAATTTCGAGACTAATAATTTCGTGGATAAAACTGCGGAATGTTTTGTGATCTATTGTAAGCCGGCGTCAGCCTTGCGGACGAGGATTTCCCGGAACGTACAATGGCTATTATTCCGTTGATTAAATCAATAGATAGGGAGATCGCGTAAAAGCGGATCCAACTTTATTGCACGCACACCGGATAGAATTTTGTCCCTGCCGCTGCGCCAGCATATAACGGCCATATTTCTCCGCGTGAGCGCTTACAAATTTTCATCATTTATTTAGCCCACGGAAACTGTTTTCGAATTTTTATAGAACCCCTTTCCCTCGGTCTGATATCGATCCGACTATGCACCGTATAATTGGATAGTGGGTGAACAAAAATGCGGGTGCAAGGACCACGATGCGAGTTCATGATTGCGTGAAAAATGTAATCAATTTTCCATCGTTACGATGGTTATTGATTATGCGATGTCAAAGCATATCAATTTACGTTTAATTAATAATGTTAAATTACGGAATCTTGAAATGTAAAACTTAATAGGAGAACGTCAGAAGTAATACGAATTCTTGTCCCTAATTTGATAGTCGCAACATCGTCGCGGTGTATAGTTAAGTGGTCCAATATAGGAGACCGTGTACGCATGGGTGAATTATCTACTATAGGAAGGTTATAAGGTGTAAGTACCGTGAGCGATATTAGATAGGTGGGGGGCATCTGTTCTGTACCGCTTTGTGTGCACGTAAAGCCGTTAATGGCAATATAGTATCTGTACACTGGATGCCGGTCGATGTAACGTTTCGGGGTTATATTATATATTGTTGGTAATCGAAGATCTCATAAGACCTTCCGATCCAGCCGTAGATATTGGAAACGTCTCTAGTTATGAATTTCCTTCTTACCGTGCAGACTTTACGACGGGGTTCGCTCTGTAAATTCTGTTTCTCGAGCGACGCGAGCATCCGCGATGTAAGCGCGCGAAATTTTACGACTAAACCGCGAACAGGCATCGGGCTGCACCGCTGCGAGGGGGGCGAGCACAAAGACTTTCCTAATAAAGTTTGAGCATCGAATTATTAAATTATAGAAAGCGAGGAACGGAATTTTTGATGATGCCGCGATATCGTCTGATGGATCCAAGTACGATTGGAAATTGAATTACGATTGGACGAACGACCGCGCTACATTCATTAACTCTGTATTAGGAAAGCGAGTTTCCAATAGTAAAATGCCTATTTGAAACCTTTAAACGGGGCTGTCAGTTAGTTACGATTTGAATTTGAAATCGAAGGGAACAATTTAATTCTGGCGAGGACTCGCGAAAAGTCGGGTGGTCTCGCGATGCTATAGTTAGAAAAGGATTTTCGCAAAATAAGAATTCCGCGCTCGGTCATCAAATATGAATAGGCGGAACAGAATGGTGGATAAAGAATAGGAAGGCAAGAGTATAAAATATTTCCCGGCTCGTGAGTGCATCGCGTTTTCGCTCGGCTAGAGCAGACTATAGAACAAGGCTAAGAAATTTCTACCCAGCGGTATGAACCGTGCACGTCTCGAGAAATTTCAGATCTAGCAGACTAGCACAATTCCCGGGTTCCCACTGTCACTGATAACAACGCGATTTTTATAAACCGCCCCGCTCTCGTGAACGCAGACTCGTTCCATTTCACGCTCCACGGATGACATCGTTCGCATTTTATCGTGCTGTATAATTCTCCCGAATGTAAAGCGTCCCATCACGACTTCGAGTTGAGAACGCGTAATTGATTTCAGAATAGAATAGTTAAAGGGGAAAATCCAACCAGAGACTACAACCCATACTAGAAATTCTATTCTCAACCAAAAAAAGGAGATCTGACCGACTCGAATAAATTACCAATTTCATAAATCCACTATAAATAAATACACAGTCTACTAACTTCAGCTGCAGTCGAACCATTTCTGATCTCTGATCTAAGTATATCAACTTTAAGAGAAAACTGATCCACGCTACAACCGGCTTAATCGCGTAACGCTATTAGAGAACGGGAAGCTCGCCTATAACTGCGTTTCATTTCTAATCGTTTCCAATTTTAAATCTTGTCTCTGATCGAGAACTGCCGTTGCTCGTGTCAGGATCTTGAAATAACAGACTTATCGAAGATACAATGTCTCCTGGCGGGTATCTGCGTCCGACGAGACCGGGCATGAACCAACGATTTTTCTCTCCACAATAACGTTGATCCCGAATGTCCGTTTTATTTACGACTCGCGAACAGGAAAGCGACACACATTACTCACGCCGCGTCAAGGAGAATCGTTTGGGGAACGAGCATCACCGAGGAAACTAGCAAAGAATGCGCTCCGAGAAACAAGAGGGAAACGTGCATGAGAGCCGGGGTACATCGCACGGGAAACAGCGTCACCGGAGGAGGAGATGGAAGGATAGAAACGTTGGAAATCGGTGCGAGCGGAGATAGCGGGGCCGCGGTGGATCTCGGGGATGTTACCCAGGGTGCGAGAAGAACGGAACAAGAAAGTGGGAAAGAAGCGGCGGGGGCTTACATTTCCCACGGGATAACCCCGCTTGTGCTCGCAGACTTCTTACTTACGGATTGATACTCAATTTCCAGCGAGTTTAGCCCCTATCGAGGGATCGTTGCGCCTGATCGCGGCAGCTCCTTCCGATTTCAAATAAATTCGATAATGGCGGATATATAGGCGCCGCGCCGCGCCGCGGGTCGTGGGATGTAGCTCGGTCGAACAAGGATATAGAAAGGGATTTCTCCATCGTCTTTACCTTAATCGACAGGGTTAAAGCGGTAAAAGCATCTGGCTTGTCGGTGAATCGAACAAAGAGCATGGAATTAAACGTTTTCGAAAGGTACGAGAAGATTCTAGCTTTCGGTGTTCACCTGATTCGATTACAGGAATGGAACTACTTAAGGATCGTGTAAATATGACGACAAATATTGTACCTAACTAATAATATTTGATAGAAACCAAGGATTGTATTCGTAAAAATCACGTTTAATACATGGTATTTCGACATTAAAGAGTTCAGAAATAAACTTATTTAAAGTCAAACTCAAGTTTCGCCGCATTTCACTCGTACAGAATATCCAATATAATTGTTTATAACTTTGAGACATTTAACTAATTGGATGGAATAATGAAACATCAAAAGTGAATAACTCCTATCTGCGACGAGTAACTTGAAACCCGCCTTGTCGCCTTCGGAGACATTCATAAAATTAAGAATTGTGATTGGAACGCTGGATACTTTTAAATGTTATTTAAAGAAGACGAGATATGTCTTCTGGGTTTGCTTGTGAAGTGTAAAAGGTTCCGAACATATAAAAAGATTTAGTCTCTGCAGTAATCAGGATTCCAGAAATTGTTGTTCTGACCTTATTTTACATGATCGTACGCGCATATATGCAGCACTCGCGCTTTGTACTCTCGTTTCGCTCGGAGAAAATCATCGGTTCGTCGGTGGGATCGTATAAACGCGAGCGCGTTACCCGGCGTTAATTACTCGCCACCCGTCGAATTACGCCCGCGACACTCGCACGCGGCTGCGATAAATCCGCGGCCGAAAGGTCGCACCGCGCCCCGGCGATATTACTCAACGCCATTAAATATCGCGTTCCGCGCGGCCGGATTTCGGCAATAACGATAATGAAACAACGGGGAACAACCAGCTTTTTCTAACGATCGTTCGTTTCGACGAGCTTGTTATCAGGCACGCCGCCTGTAACGAGCCCCCTTTACTCACCGCCCTCTATCTACGGGCGAGCTTCGCGAGGGAGTTGGTTAATTAAAACCGAGAATTAACCCGGCCCGCGCGAAGAAACGTTGACTGTGTGAACGACGATTCTCGCGATTTCGGCAATTATGGCGAATTATATTAACCGCGGCTTGCAATCTCTTCCTTCCTCGCTTCGTGGCTCCGTTCGCGAGGCACAGATGCGAATCTTATCTCTCCGGCCGGCTGTATGTTAGAGTCTGCACGGCACGCCTGTTGTTTCAACGGTGGAACTCGCGCGAAACTAATTTCCAACGACGTGACGGCGGTTGATTTTATTAGCGAACGTTGGATATCACGGCGTTCAGTTCAAGTTCCGCGGCGGAAGGTGTTTCTGTTAACGGTACTGTTGATCGCATACGTGTCGTGCAGCAAATGTTAGAATCGGTGGAAGTCGTAATTTAAGATGTACATAGTCTGGGATATGACCTGTCGTTAATAATAAAGTCTTTTAGCTTTTCAATTGTCTAATTAATCGTATCGAATAAGAATCTTGAACACGTGTTACGTATACAAGATCTTTTTATCGACATTGAATGCAAGCTTCTGAATTATCAAGTAACTTTAAACCATCTCCCGGCTTGCATGACAGATTATTCAATTCGTCTCCTTATCAGACGTAACGGGTTCGGCGCAAGAATATATAATTTCGGCTAAAAACCGTTTGATGATATTAAAATCTCGAGTTTTTCCATCATGATGGTTATTTTACCGTGCGAACTTTGCACCTACTCGCTCAATTGAAATTACGTAAAATACGTAAGTGAAGTAATCTTCTTTCTGGTTGCCTAATGTGCAGATCAGGGCCCAATGTGACAGTACGTTCTCAGATTTAGGCGATGTGTTAATCGATCCGCGCATAAGTACGAGGATGATGAAGCAGGAACGTGTGTATTCGCATCGATTAGCGAAGACGAATAGGAGAATAAGGGATGGTCTTGTTGGAATACCGAGAATTCAGTATTACGTGGAAGCCGCTCAGTCATGATCAGCTTTCACCGATAACAGTTGCCAGCTGATTTGCATGTATAAACAATATGGGCTATTCCTGTTTCTGAATTCTTCAATTACCTCAACGTTTTCGACAATTAGTGTTAACGATCGAGATCTAATGGACGCGAATTTTTATGTTCCTAAAATGTTTTACAAATAATTTAGAGCGCACGATGTTAAAAATGAACTCGAAAAGAACGATATCGTTAAAACTGTAATATGAAAAACTTACGGAACTGAATCCCATAACTTTGAGAAGCCACAGGGTGAGCGCCAAGTTCAGTATCACGATGACTATCAGCGTGAGCACCAACGAGTACAAGCACCTTTTTCTCCAACCATAAACGCCTAACCTGAAGCCACCTTTACACGAGGCGGTACCGGAGGTGCGATCCTCGAGAATGGGTGGCGTCGTCCTCGACGATGGTCCCGCCGATTGTCGTGCTGCGTTCCGACCGCTGGTCGACGTGCACGGTTCGTCCGACCAACTCGTTTGTCCCCGAGTCATTCTGTAATAACGTAAAATGTACGATACCATTAAGTCTTATTTTTTCTTCGATGACTACTGTTTCTGTTCAAGATTAAATCAAAATTGTTTTTTAGAATGCTTAACAGTTTCATACATATATTCCTTCATAGTACCATGATCATGATCTTCTAAGTAGAAAAACTCATACTCTTATAAAAAGAGAGAAATTTAAAGCACAATTGTCAGCAATTAATAAGCCCGTAATTGCTGGAACCATTCTTTCCCGATGATTTATCAACGATTTATGCCCAGTCCTCGCGTACCGGCTGCGGGAAATTGGTCGTGGGAAGAAGAAACAGAACTAAGGGAAGACTGATCTCCGGTTCTTACTTCTTGAAACACGAGCGTTCCGTTATACGTGCCCGGCGTCCGAAACATCCACCCGGTTCCCGCCGACTCCATTTCCACTAACACCAGAACGCGCGTGTTTCCCTTTCTCCCCGTTTTTTTTCCATCTATACGCGATCCCAGGATTAGATTTTGTCGATGCGCAAAAAGTCGATCGCGACAAGAACTCGCGCTCACTGTCTCAAATAAGGGACGATCAAGTTCAGCCTATTTATACGGTCTGTGGCGGAACAGGGTGAAATCGGGGGACTATCAAATGGCGGATAATTAGCGACGGACCTAGGCGCGCACATGCGCATGAAAAATGAACGAGCCAGGTAGCGATTAAAGGGGACGTTGGGCGGACGAAGAAAAAAGGAGAACCGGCAAGAGGATGTAGAAGGGAAAAGAACGAGAGGATCTTATGTAAATCTGTCCGCAAAATAGCGGAACGTAACTTTCCGTCCTAATCTCTTGGCTTGCGCGCCGGCCGGCTCGAATGAATCGTCTTTTACTTATACGTTCTCTAGCTCCTCCTTGTCTTTCCTCTGTCGTTACAGAATCATACGCTATTTAACATTGATTAACGCTGGAATTATTAGTCGAGAGAACATTTTAAACGGTATTTTTCAATTTCACGAAGGTTGCCAAATACGAAGCTGGTGAGAGAGAATTTGATCAAAAAGTGGTGATATACTTAAGGATGGAATAAGCTGGGAGAGGGGCGACGCAGGTAGGCAAAGGGACGTAGCGAATGAGAGAAAGAAGGACAAATACGGGTAGGAAGAGCGAGATCTAAAATATTCAATGGCACCCCTCCGCTCTGCGGATAATTATACCTCTCGCGGATATAAAGAGCTCGGTTGCTCGAAATTAAAAGCTCCGAAGATAAGCCCCCGCGAGGGAAAGAGCGGGCGCTTAGTGCTTGCTTTTCAGGACGAGAAGGCACACGATTTTCAGCAAGGAGAGCACGAGAGTGGAAGAGAGAAGGTAAGGGTCGGTGTTAGGCTCGTTGACGATTGCACGAACGCTGCCCCACAGCTGCACGCCTCATCGAAGATTGTGTTTAACGAAAAAGTTCCTCTAATCTTCTGAACTTCTACTGGATGCAGTCGTGATTTTCGATATTAATTTCTGACACCGTAAATACCGTGCGACTACGCGGAAGCAATCGATATCCTAATTGGTCACTCAGGACACTCGACATTAAAAGAGGTCCGGAAATTCATTGAACCGTCGTAGAAATAATTTGCCTCGAAATTCAAGTATTATACGAGCTCACATTCTATACATTTTGATATCGTTCATTAATTTCACGAAACTGAGTTTGAGTAGTAATATCAATTGGCCTATTTCGAAAAACTTTACAGCCGTATCACAATATAACCGCGTACTTCACTTTAAAAACTGTCGAAGCGTAATCGCGACGAGCGTTTGCATTTGCCTCTCGTAAAACCGAATATTTAAGAGTCTCATTGAACCACGAGGTGGGATGGATTCGGGCGTATTCGAAAGTCGTTTACGCGTGGAGGCAAAAGGAATCCGGGGTACGAAGCGGCACGGCGCAGATTCGGATTCAAGAGGCAATTACAAAGCGGAAATATTCACGGGATCATAAATAGCGTCGGACGTATGTTAAACGGCCGCCGGGAACTTTTGACGTAACGCGAAGTTAGCGCGGCCACTGCTATAATTTCACGGTTCCAAGCCCAAAGAGCATTACAAGTTGCGAAATTATCACTGTACTAATGTACGACCATGTTACACGTGCTTTTTGCTCACTTTTCGCCCTTCCCTCTGGGTTTTTAGTCCTTTCGTCCGGCGGCCACGCAACTTCCGTGATAAATAGCGGTTTGTTTAAAACGAATTAAACGAATAAACCGACTGTTCTCGCGCTTAAAAGCTTGCTGGGCAGACGTCTGAACAATGAGAATAGAATATAAGATGAATTCTAATGCGATACAGCAGATGAAAATTATTTTTCTTACTGGGTACAGTAAACGTAAGCAAGCGTACGTACAACGGTGAGTAACAAAGTTTGTAACGTAAATAAATTTCGCGAGCGTAAGTCAGCGTAGTTTGGATTTATGACATCCGTACCGCGACTTTAAGAACGTAATACGTATCAATTCCTAGCGAGTCGTGCGTTCGTCGTAAAAATTTCCACCCGGAAATGATTTTCCCACCTCGCCGAAAGTATTTATTCATAGTTCAGACTCAGAAATTTTGCCAGCACCCTCGAATGCAACGTAGGCCGGAAGTCGGTTTGAAATGCGGTCGATGGAGAATAATTGGCGCTCGCCGAAAATTCAAAAGGCTACTTGATTCCATACGAAAGGTTAGTCTTCCTGCTCGGAACTTGTCGAAACTGAGCGATAGCACAATGGAAGCTAGAGCTTAGCCGATTACGATCGACAGGATTGCTTCGGCTCAGATAGAAGCAACGATCAATGTTCTACGCGAGTCTCGAGCATTCCTCGACTTTATAGAAACTTTAGTCTTTGACAAACAAATAAAATTACGGTCGATAACTCGACGGAACGAAGTTTGGAACAATCGTCATGAGATCTTCGATAATTAAGTGTTTATAATAGTGTTTTAAGGATGTATTGGCTATACAGTCAATCCCAAAAGTTTATGCACTTTAGAAACG